TTTGGATTCCCTTTCTTCGTTTTATATATATATATAAAACAAGGGAGCTCTGGTGGCATAGTGCCTAAGGCATTTGACTGCTAACCAAACAGTGGCTGATAGTTCAAACCCACCAGCCACTCCTCAGCCACTCCTCAGAAGGAAGTTTGGGCAATCTACTTCCGTAGTGATACCGCCTTGGAATCCCTCCCAAGAAGGGGGTCACTATGAGTCAGATCTGAATCAATGGCAGTGAATTGTATATAACAAAAAAACAAATCAAAACATTTCAGCTCATGAAATTCAATGTATAACAAATATCCAATGAAACAGAAGAAAACTGTAATACAGAATTAAAACTGAATTGTTGTTGTTGTTGTTGTCATTTGCCATCGAGTCAGCCCCAACTTATAGCGACCCCTCCTTGGGTTTCCGAGGCAGTATCACTACGGAAGTAGGATTGCCCAACCTTCCTTCTGAGGAGTGGCTGATGGATTTGAACCGCCAGCCTTCTGGTTAGCAGTCAAGTGCCTTAGGCATTATGCTACCAGAGCTCCTAAAACTGAATTAAGCATCTTTAAACAATTATTCAGAGGTCTGGTAGCATAGTGCCTAAGGCACTTGACTGCTAACCTGAAGGCTGATGGCAACCCAAGGAGGGGTTGCTATGAGTTGGGTCAGACTCGACAGCACATAACAACAACAATAACAAACAGTTATTCAATTAAAAAAAAGTCTTATATCAGAAATTCATAAGCTAAAAACAGACAAAAATGAACAAAAGCAGAAAGAACAAGACAGTTGATTAAACACAGAAACAAAATGGAAAAAGGAGAAAATCAACTTAAAACAAAAAATACTAAATTACAAGAAGGCTTAACGAGAATATATTTTTTAAAAAATTAACAAAAGCAGTTAAAAGAATCATATTAACCAAATCTGGAACTGACAGCATGCCAAGTTTTTCAAATATAGATATAATTCAATATAGAATTATTCCAGCACCATTCATCAAAAAGTGATCTCTTTTGTACATCAAGTTTTCATATAAGCATGGACCTATTTCTAGGATCTACATTCTATTTCATTGGTCAATTTATCTAATCCTACTTACATTCCAAAAAGCACAAAACAAAGCAAACCCTAATAATTTGTAGATTCTTTTATGTTTTCTACATAAATAATGTGACTAACTTTCTTTACAAATTTCTTTGATTTACTTTTTATTTATTTATTTATTTGCTTGACTGTGTTAGCTAGGACCTCTAGTAAGGTGAAGTAGCACACTTATCTTGATTTCAAATGGAAAACA